GGATCCTGATTCAAATAAATGCAGTGTGAAAAAAAATGCCCGAGACAGTAAGGGAAATCCAGACACCGACTGGACATTTGATGAGAGTAAGAAATTACTATTAATTTTTTAGGTGTGATAATGACATTGTGGTTAAGTTTTTAAAAAAGAATCCTTATCTTTTAGAGATTTGTACATGACTTCTGGGATTTGCCTCAATAACAGGGTGAGGGTGGGGAAGCATGGGAGGAAGGTGCGTGGGGAGGAAGATAAAACGAGCTTGGTCATAGATGATAATGGTCGAAGATGGGTGATGGGGACGTTCATCACACTGCTCTATTTTTGTACGTGCTTGAGATTTTCCATAATAAGTGTTTAAACAACATGATTAATGTATCAGTGCCACTAAACTGTACATGCGAAAAACGCTGAATTGGAAAATGTTGTTATATATATTTTTACAGAAACAGAAGTATTTTTGTAAAAACGCTCATTGCAAAAAATTTGGAAAACACAGAAAAGTAAAACAAAAAAACAAACCATTGTCACTGAGTCAATTCAGACTCATGGCAACCCTATGTATTACAGAGTAGAACTACCCTATAGGGTTTTTTCTGGCTTACTCTTCACGGAAACAGACTGCCAGGCCTTTCTTCCATGGTGCTGCTGAGTGTGTTCGAACCACCAATTTTTAGGTTAGTAGTTGAGCGCAAACCATTTGCAACACTCAGGGTCCTTCTAAAGAAAGAAAAAGACCCCCATAAATTCTACCACTCAAAGCTATCACAAACAGAAGTCTGTTTTTATTGTAATTATTTAAGTAACCCATGTTTTTCATAGAACTATCAGAAAAAAAGAAAGCCAAAAAAAAAAAAAAAAGAAGAGCAAGTAAGGGGCTATGTATGTGTGGATCCTTTTTTTAAAGTTCCCGTCTAACATCTAAATGCAAATTCCTAATTAAGTGGTAAAATGACCTCCAGTCTCTTACACACACCACACCCACCTATGTAACCAAAGAACATTGGCCCCTTGTGTCATGCCTACTGTCCATTTTAGGAAACCAAGCTAAATCAATGGCATTGCTTTTCTCCGAGGGAAGCTGCAAATTCACTTGGTCGTTAATTTTTTCAATTAACAAACCCAACTCTCTTGAGCACCTACTGCCAGCCAGTCCCAGCGCGTGCCCTGGGGTTAAACAAAAAATTCTCCACTTTAGCACTTTTCACAATCACCAAAATGTGGAAACAACCCAAATGTCCATCAATGAATGAATGAATAAACAAAGTGCAGTGCATACATACAATGGAATATTACTCAGCCATACAGAGAAATGAAGTCCTGATGCATGCCACAACATGGATGAACCTTGAAAACATCATGGAACAAGCCAGTTGCAAAAGGACGACTACTGTATGATCTCACGTATGTGAAATTAACAAACATATAGAAACAAAAGATTATTAGTGATTACCAGGGGTGGGAGGGAGGGGCAAGGGGGAGTTTTTGCTTAGGTGGCAGCGAGCTTATGTTAAAGAGGAGGAACAACTTAGAAAAGTAAAGTGAGAATGGTTGCACAATCTGAAGAATGTAATCAACGTCACTGAAATGTACATGTAGAAGTTGTTGAATTGGAGAATGTTTTGTTGTATATACTTTCACCACAATAAAAAAATAAAAAAGTCTCAGCCCCAGCTCTCAAAGAGCTTATGGGCCAGAAGAAATGAGACTGGCATGCGCAGGTCCACTAGGACAAGGTGAGACAAACAGTAAATTAAAGCCGACGTACACGTCCCTCCAGTGGAAACAACAGTATGATTCCAACTACGCTGTCCCGACATGGTTGTATATCAGATCAGCTCTAGGTGGTGCCACAGGTCATTTTTTTTCTACCAATAATTAAAAGCGTTGAAGATTTTGAAAGACTTACTCCTGGTAACAAGTGAGGGTAAGTTTCAGCCTCCCTCTTAACCACATGGTTTCTTGAGTGGGAAAGAAAAGGGAGGGGGGTGTACCAGGGCCTCAAAAGAGAAATGTGATTTGTGCAAATGTCACCCCATATGGATGTCCTCCATCAGATGTACCCCATCCTGAGGGGTGGGGGAGGGGGGTCAGGATGTGAACCAGCTTTGGGCAAGGGTGTGCACACCACCATGGTGCAAAAACTGCTCTAAGTCTCGAGCAACTGCAGCCCACTAAATCCAAGCAAGTTCCAGTCTGCAAAATTCCCATACAATAAAACAATCTGAAGTTTATGGTAAAGAAATTCGTGATTCCAGTAACAATGGCAAAACTGTGTACCAAAGCCCGAAAGCAAACAGACACAATAATCACTGCCGTACTTTTAAAGTTGCTTCCTATTTTGGGGGGGGTGTGTGTGACAAAAACTTACACATTCAACCTCCCTGCTGTGAATTCATGAAAATATCTTGGTCACCTTCAATGTGACAGACCAAGGAACCTAACTCTAAAAAGCAGCACATAACAGCCCAATCTACAGATGCGACTACCTAGGCTGAACTTTTCTAAAACAAAGAACATAAAAACTGTTCAGACTGCTCAACACAGCAGTTGGCCGGCTGTGACAGTTTCCAAAAGCAAACAGCTTTACTCTGGGATGGCAGGCCCCAACATCCACTCACTGTTTCTCTGTCTGCATCTCTGTTCTGTTCCTGTAAAGTTTTCAACACTGCCTACAGGGGCACTGCTCAGAAGCAGCACAGCTGAAGTCAAATAAACACAGACTGGCACCGTGGGAGAGGCACTGCCGGCGCATCACTAAGCAGTCACACCTTCAGCCTGCCAGCTACAACCTCAATGCCTCAGGATGCGCCCTTCCTCAGAGTATCAATTTGCAAGGATCCATGTGCACCAGTAACATTTTATACATGATGAACCTATATTGGCCTACTTGCTGGATGGACTGACAGGACCCTGCAGGTTTTCTTTTCCCTTTAGTTAGAGAAAATACTAGCGAGAAAGTTTCACTTAAGATGCAGTTAACTAGGCCCTAAGGAGCTGGTGGCTCAATGGCTAAGTGCTTGGTTGCTAACTGAGAGGTCAGCGGTTCGAACCCAGCAAGCAGCTCTCTGGGAGAAAAGCTCTGGAGATCTGCTCCTGCAAAGATTTACAGTGTAGGAAACCCTCAAAGTCTCCGTCCTACAGGGTCGCTATGAGGTGAAATGGACTTGACCGCACACAACAACGAATCAGAATCAGGCCCTCGTCAGGAGACAGGCAATAGGAAGCCCCAGAACCAGGACCTTTAATGGAAGCACTTACAGAACCCGAGTTATACAAAGCTGCACTGGCAGCAACAGGCCTCTGAGAGCCAGGGAGGGAAGGAGGGGCCATTTACCTGTCATTTCCTCAGAAGACAGACTGGCTGAGAACTGTAAGTAATGGCCCAGAATAGAGAGGGTGGGGCTTATCTAAAAGATGCAACAGAGTAGTAACAACCACAGGACCCAACCTCTTCAGTTTTGGAAGAATCCTGATTTTACAGAAATGCACACCGTTCACACTTGGAAAATGGAGATAACCTTTCCCTCTCAAACCCCAAGCAGCAGTGAGTCACTGCTGATGCTGGGCTTGAAAATATCCAATACAAAATTTATAACCAAACATGCCAAGACCCAATAAAGGGTAGAAGTTAACCAAAACAAGCTTCAGGCTCTGGGAATTATCTGGTCAGAAATACCCTGCACTCAGGGTGCTTACAAAAGAGAGATTAATTAGGCAGTCACAAGACAACTCCCGAACGTGAAACACACTGAAGAAATATAAACACCAGTGTGTAGTTGGAAGCAATTACTAATCAGAAAAAAAGAAAGTGTCTAAAAGAGGAGAGGAAATGAGTAATGAAACAGGCTCTCTCCAGATCAACTGATCTTGAGAATGCAAGAATCTCCCGGGGCAGCGCAGAGGGTGAGAAAACCTGTATGCAAAAGCCAGAAAAGAGCAAAGAGTGAATGAAGAACGGTGGAATACACAAGCGGTTACCTCAGCACCAACCCGGCACGAGTGCCCTCCCAAGCTGGAGCCTGTCCCCTGCTCCCACGACCTGGCCCTGCATCTGCTCTTTCCGTTCCTGGTAACTGAACCCAATGAGGCCTCCTGAGTACCAGGTACGCTGCTCCATCAAACCTGCTTCCCCAGCAAAGCTGAGAAGGTGCCATTTCTTACTCAGGGCGTTTTGAAGGTGCATGCAGTCTCAAGGGCACTTCTTACGCTGGTTCCCCTGTCCTAGGGTCACTCTCCTATCTCTCCCATCCCTCTATCCCTCTGTTCATTCACTCCTGGCTCCCACTACTGGTGGCTCCAAGGGAGGGGGAGCTCGGTCGGGCCTTCGGGGGACCCTGCACTTCTCCGAGGGGCACCCCTCTGCCTCCTGATGCAACGCCTTCTCAGGCGTGTGCACGCGATCTCAGGACCGAGGCGGGGCGACAGGGGTACAGATACACGTCAGGCGGGACCACAGGTCCTAACCCCAGGCCAACACCAGGCCGGGCAGAGATGTCCCCCGGGGATCCGGGCGTGGCGGGGGCGACCCCCGGGGGTCCACGCCGGGTGGGGTGACAGAGCCCCTCCCGGGCCCAAGTCAGGCAGGGCCACAGGTCCAACCACGGGGACCCAAGCCGGTCAGGGCGCGGCGGAGGCGACCCCAGAGGTCCAGGCCCGGCAGGGGTGACCCCCAGGGATCCGGGAGCGGTGGGGGCGACCCCTGGTATCTAGGTCGGGCCAAGCAAGGTGAGGAAGACTACCGGGGGTCTAGGGCGAGCGGAGGTGACCTCGGGGATCCGGGCCGGCGGGGGTTAACCCCAGGGGTCCAGAAGGGGCAGGTACTATCCTCCAGATCAATGCCTGACGGGGATGACCCCGAGAATCCGGCCGAGGCGGGGGCAGCCCCCGGGAGTCCGGGCTGGTTTGAGGGGAGCAGAGACGACCCCGGGGATCCAGGCGGGGCTGACAGGCCGACCTCGGGGCCCGGCGGGGTGACAGCGCCCCCCTACCCCGGCACTCACTGCGGGGGCAGCTGCAGGGCGGGCGCGCCGCGCCGCTGGAAGGCCCCGTCCACGAAGACGCCGTTCTTGCCAAGGCAGCGCAGGTAGAAGTGCGGCTCCTGGAAGCTGAGCTGCAGGTGGCGCCGCGAGATGAAGCTCGACAGGCCCATGCTGAGGTCCACCGAGCCCTGCGACGAGTTGCGGCCGATGGTGACGGTGGGCTGCCGCATGAGGAACTCGAACTCGCGGCCCTCGAGGCGCGCCAGGGCCGGCCCGGGACTCCGCCGCACCGACGCCGCCG